GGGGCGCAGGTCGCCTGGCAGCAGGGGCTGGGCGTCTCTGCTGCTCGCAGCTGGGCCTCGGTGATGCTTTCTCCCTCAGCAGCCCCTCGTTTCACAGGCAGCCCGGGGTTCGGGTCGTGACAGACGTCTGCTGCCTGCCGCGGTTTCCTCTGTCTTTGCCGTGCTGCCTGCCGCGGTTTCCTCTGTCTTTGCCGTGCAGGGGCACGTGGAGCTTTGACAGCAAAGAGATAAAAGGAAGATGTGAAACTCCGGAGCAATTTGCAAAGCCTTCCCTGCCGCTGAGGCAGCTCTGGAGGGGCCTGCGCTGCGGCGCCCCCGTAACCTCAGAGGAGCTTCACAGCGAGCGCTGACCGCGCGCTGCTCCTCTTCCTGCCCAGGCTCAGAACCTGTGTCAGCACGCAGCGATAGCCGCGGGCAGCGTCTGGATAACTGGATCCGGCAGTGAGCGCTCCTGGCGACAGGTTGTGGTGTGGAGAGGGACGTCCTCGAGCCCCCGATCCAGAGGGAAGGAGCACTCATCCCACCTCAGAATGGCTGCGGTCACCTCCAGGCCCTGGTGCCAGCAGAGAGAGGAACATGCGGGAGGTGCTCACGGGGCTTCTCGGCACGTGCACGGCAGCCCTGGAGAAGCTGCCTCGCTCTCCTCCTGCCTGTGGCACATCTCTGCTCGCGTCGCTGCCTGGGAGAAGATGCGGTGGCTCGTCGCTGTCAGACCGCTCCACCTGGGGCTTGGCCCTGCTCCTGAAGCGGGGCTTGAAGAAGAGGTGGCTCCCGGCAAACAGGAGCCTGCAGCACAGGACAAAGCTTTCTCCAGCCTCCCAGGATCCCGGCTTCAGGGGAGGAAGGGCCACACCGTGCCTGGCTTTGTGGCTTCCGTCCCGCCTCATTTCCACTTGTAAACCCCCGAGACATTTCTCTTCTGCTTTCTGTTTCTATAGCTCTGTTAGACTCTGTTACAGAAGAAATAAAGCTTTTGTTTCCTTTTTATTTATTTTTTTTTTTAGTTTTATAAAAGCAAACACGTGCTGTGCTGTGCTCTCTGCTGGAGGCAGTGCTCCTGCAGTGCTGCTGGAGGTGG